CTTCCATTTCTGAGCTCTCAGAAGACAGCAATTATTCCTCTTTTTTACCTATTCCAATTTCTTTCTTTGATCTTGAATTGCTCTGTGATGGAGAGGTTCTGGTTTTGATCTGACTATGTGCTCCTTTGCTGTTCCTGCCAATGGGTTAGGCTGTCCGACCAGATGAGGGAGTTGGGCTGCCTCTGCACTGGTGTACCCCTTCAGACCCTTCTTTCCTCTTGGTGCCCTGGGAGCCCTCCCTTCTCCCTCTCCAGGCACAGGATGCCTGCTGGGAGCTGGTCCACAGTGGGAAGAGCTTGGTTTAAGCCCGCTCAGGCTGTGCAGGAGGCAGGCCCTGGTGTGGGGGGAGAATGGTGCAGGCTCACACTAGCCATAGCTTTTCAGGGCAAAGTCCAGGGAGCCAAGAAATCAAATCCGTTTCCAGCTGAGGTTGCAGCACCCCTAACGGACCAGATGGCTCTGTTGTAACTTAATTAGCTAAATGGCCCTGGGGGAAAAGGAAGATAGATGTCCAGTGAGGTGGCAGTAAATGAGTCCTGCTGGCTGGGAGCCCAGTGTGCCCCACGGTGTCCCATTCCGCCTGATGCTGAAGCTTCCCCAGCTGGGCCCCAGGAAACCCAGATACATACACCTAGGGAGGCTTCTAACAGTGACATATATCTAAAGCCCTTTTTCTTTAATGGTTGCGCCATGGGTGAATGAATGGTTAGATATTTGAAGCAAGGAATGTGGCATTTTATGAAGATGTTTAAACATTGCCACAGCACATCACCTGTAGATCAGGGAGGGGAAATCAGCTGTGCAGAATTGTTTTTCCTTTAATGGTGGGAAGGCCGGATCCCCATAGGGCCATTCTGGTTGTAGAATTCAAGGAGTCTTTAGACCTGCATAGGATCCCGTGGGAGTGGCATTTGGGGGAAGTCTGGTGAAGGAGGACTTGGGGGTGGGTGGTCGCCTCTGTCTGGAGCCAGTGTCTGATTGCCTCTGCTTCTATTCCAGTTGTGACCAAAGATGGTGTCTATGTCCTTGACTTGGCTGCCAAGGTGGATGCCACAGCTGACTACATTTGCAAAGTGAAGTGGGGTGACATCGACTTCCCTCCCCCCTTCGGGCGGGAGGCTTATCCAGAGGTAAAGCTGGTTTACGGAGGAGACAGGGAATGAGGGGGGCCTGGGGGAGGGTGACTAATCTCAGATGAGCATTTGGCCCCCCTTATGGGCTGTATATTTGGCAAAGAAAGAAAGGACAAGAACCATTTAATTATTTTAAAACCCCAGTGGGGTGGGGGTGGGAGTCCACCAAGCCTCTGAATCCCAGCCAGAAACCCTTTTAGACTTCTCTCTCAATCAACCTCCCTGGGCTCTTAACTTGATTTGCTGCTGCTTGATAATTCCTAGTCCACACCATCCCCCACCCCAATCCTGTTGGGAAGGCGTTCTCTCTGGCCACTCGCTGAGAATTTTAATTGCTCCTTCCCGCCCCATCCTCTGAGAAGTCCTCCCAGCAGGACCAGGCCTTCTGTGAAGTAACCCAGGCCAAGGGAAGTGGCAGGGCTGGGAGAAGGGTAGCGCCTGGGGAGGGGAGGAGAGACGTGATGAGGAGGTACTCTCAAGGGTTCGAAGCGGGGGCGAGGGGGACAGGGAGGAAGCGAAGTGACCTCGTGAGGCTCAGGACTTGGGCAGAGGGGAGGAGAGAAAGGCACTGGGAAGTTTGTCCCCAGGCGGTGACTGGCTGCGGGTGGTTGTGGTACTTACACCATCGTGTTTTGTCCCTGGTATGTGGGCCCTGCACAGTCCTCTCCTCCTCCCTTAAGGTGGTTGACCTCTTCATGTGCCTCCAGGGAAAGGGTAAGGGTCCTGGGATCTGTGAAGGGGCCACTCACGGGCCCACCTGTTGCTCTCTGGTCCCTAGGAAGCCTACATTGCAGACCTGGATGCCAAAAGTGGGGCGAGCCTGAAGCTGACCTTGCTGAACCCTAAGGGGAGGATCTGGACCATGGTGGCCGGGGGTGGTGCCTCTGTCGTGTACAGGTGACTGGAGGGGGGCTAGTGATGGGATGCCAGCTGGGTCCACCCAGGGTCCACACATGCTGGGGCCCACCTGTTGTCTGTGTGGCCTGGGCCAAGTGGCTTCACCTCTGGAGTCTCTGGTTTCTCACCTTGGAGAGGAGCAGGAAGTAGTGAAGCAAATAAGAGAGAACAATGGCATCTCAGCAGAGCAGCTCTGTGGAGGGCCAGCCCTGCACACAGTGGCTTCTGCAACCTTTTTTGTTTTCTTTAATTCTTATAATTAGTGATATGTGCTCAACGCAAAGGTACAACAAATAAGATGAACTAGAAAGTGACAGTTCCATGGACCTTGCCCCACCCCTTCCCCGACCAGGTCACCACGGTGAGCGTGGACGTCCTTCAAGGCGTTTTAATGCCTATAATGATATATTTTCACTTTATAGAAATAACGGGGTCATACATATTCTGTACACTTTGTAATAGCATTTTTTTACTTAAAGCACGGTGAATGACGGCTCATTTCTAGATGTGTAATCCACCACATTCCCTTCCGTGGGGTGGGCTCTTTCCTCTGGCTGCACTGCGGTTTTACGTCTTTGTTGGGCAGCCTGTCAGGGACTTCCGGACTGTGCAGTTTTTCTTGTCTTTGTCTTGGAGAGGTGTTCACTGTGCATTTTACCTGCCACTGTCTGGTCCAGAGCCCCATGGTGGCGCAGTTAACCTCTTGACTACTAATCGAAAGGCCTAGCAATCTGCTTCCAAAAGGTCACAGCCTTGAAACCCCTATGGAGTACACTTCTACTCTGCACACGTGGGGTCACCATGAGTTTGAATCTACTGGACAGCAACTGGTTTGTTTGTTTTCATCTGGTTGGGTGCCCCATGGTGGCACAGGGCTGCAGAGTGCATTGCCCAGAGGAGTCCGATGGAGAGTTAGCTTTCTAGTGTGACTTGCGTGTGTTGAGGGTCGGAGCTCTGCAAGGCCAGTTTCACAGGCTAACTTCCGTGCTTTGGGGGATCTGCATGTTCTCTCAGGCACCGGCTGCCATTCCCTACCCTGAGAGTCGGGGCCAGCACTGACTTTGGTGTCTCCTTGGCAGTGACACCATCTGTGACCTGGGGGGTGTCAACGAGCTGGCGAACTATGGGGAATACTCGGGTGCCCCCAGCGAGCAGCAGACTTATGACTATGCCAAGACAATCCTGTCCCTCATGACCCGCGAGAAGCACCCAGATGGTGAGATACACACCCCCACTCCCCAGCAGGGTGCAGTGGGAACAGCTTTGTACTAGGAGCCACTGAGGCTGTGCTCCTGGTCCTTCGCAGCCTTGGGCTAATCACTTAACTACTGGACCTCAGCTTCCTTGATTGCACAATGGGCAGTGACAGCATCTCCGAAGACGGGGACTCTGAAAGGGCAAGGGGGAGATGTGTGCATAAAGGTCAAAGTGCAAGGGTTGGGGAGGAGGCAGCGTGCTCTTAACTTTGACCGCCGTAAACTCAGTTGTTAGTGACCCACTTGCATATTTACTGCCTGGGCTGTGCGATTCCCAGAGCCCTGGTGGCACAGTGGTTAAGAGCTACAATGAGCTATGGCCACTAACCAAGAGGTCGGCAGTTCGAATCCACCAGCCACTCCTTGGAAACCCTATGGGACAGTTCTACCCTGTCCCATAGGGTCGCTGTGAGTTGGAATCGACTCCATAGCAGTGGGCTTGGTGTTTTTGGTTGGTGCGATTCCCAGCCCCCCTTTGCCACCTGTGCAGCGTTTTGAGACCGCACATCAATTCCTGTTCCCTTGAGGCAGGAAGAGAGTCCAGTTAGAGGGATCGAGAAACCCAGCTAGAGTTCTAGATGCCAACTAGGAATGGTGGAGAGGTTCTGTGGGTTTGGATTCACCGTCTGCCCAGTGGCATAGGTAATGGAGAGTTGAGTAGATAAGGCTGAATGGGCCTCAGACCATCCTGCTTACCCCCTGCCTCTGCCCTGAAACCTCTGAAGACTTGGGGGGGTCCTCACTTAGGGGAGAGAGAACTAATAACTCCCTCAGGTAGATTTCTGATAAGATGCTCAGGTCTACCTTTCTAATACTTTCTTTACATCTTTTATTCCAAACTCAGGTAAGATCCTCATCATCGGAGGCAGCATCGCAAATTTCACCAACGTGGCTGCCACGTTCAAGGTAATCAGCTGCAGTGTGTGATGTGGTTTTGGGGGAAGTGGGAAAGGGATCTCATCAGCAAGGTTTGACATGGAGCAACTGCCCGTGAGTTCCTGGTCCAGGGAGGCCCAGGCTCCCCTCTTGGGGAGTACAGAAAACACTGAGTCAGGAGATCTGGAACTGAAGCCCTGAACAAGCAGCTGACACTCCCTGGACTGTAATTCTCCCATCGAAAGTGTGGGCAGAGGTGAATTTCTGTTGTTCCCCCCTTTCAGGACAGTTGTTGGAGAATTGACTCAGTTGACCCTCTCTTCAGCACCTTGTTGTAACACTCCCTGGTTCTCTGCAATTCCTAGTCTCTGTCTTTTCTCAACTCAGTTCCTTCTCCAAAAGGTGGGATGAGGAAAGTGTTTTGATGCTGTGGGGCTCCTGGATCACAGGTTTACAGAAAATGTGACTGTCACCATACTGGGGAAGCCAGCACAACCTGTGCAAGGAAAGGTCATGGAAGCTCCATAGACACATCCAAACTCCCCTGAGGGACTGAATTGCTGGGCAGAGGGCTGTGGGGACCATGGTCTAGGGGAACATCTAGCTCAATTGGCATAACACCGTTTATAAAGAAAATGTTCTACATTCTACCTTGGTGAGTAGCATCTGGGGTCTTAAAAGCCTTGAGCAGCCATCTAACATACTCCACTGGTCTCACCCCTTCGGGAGCAAGGGAGAATGAAGAAAACAAGATACAAGGAAAAGATTAGTCCAAAGGACTAATGGACCACAACTACCATGGCCTCCACCAAACTGAGTCCAGTACAGCTAGATGGTGCCCAGCTACCACCACTGACTGCTCTGACTGGGATCACAACAGAGGGTCCCAGACAGAGCTGGAGAAAAATGTAGAGCAAAATTCTAACTCACAAAAAAAGACCAGACTTCCTGGCCTGACAGAGACTGGAGAAACCCCAAAGGTATGGCCCCCAGACACCGTTTTAGCTCAGTAATGAAGTCACTCCTGAGGTTCACCCTTCAGCCAACGATCAGACAGGCCCATAAAATAAAACGAGACTAAAGTGGCATACCAGCCCAGGGACAAGGACTAGAAGGCAGGAGGGGACAGGGAAGCTGGTAATAGGGAACCCAAGGTTGAGAAGGGACAGCATTGACATGTCATGGGGTTGTTAACCATTGTCATAAAACAATATGTGTACTAACTGTTTAATGAGAAACTCTTTGCTCTGTAGACCTTCATCTAAAGTACAATTAAAAAAATAATAAAATTAAAAAATAAGAAAACGTGACTCAGTCGGCAAGAGTAACAGAGCTGGCATGTCTCAACAGCCATCCCCTTAACAGTAGCTTCCTCAGGAGGCTGTTTATTATTCCATACTGTCAGATGCTCAGTGAGGCTATTTAAGAATGTGCCAGCGTCTGATAATTCCATATACGTTTTGAGGATCATGAGTAAATAAGTGTCAGCCTTGAAACTCTGCTCTCTCAAGAAGAGGGGACTAGGCCTCATCGGTCCTGCCTAAAAGAAGAGTCTTTGTAACTGTTCCTGATTCAAGAGACAAATCTGAAACAGGTGAAATACTATGGCTTTGTTTAACTTCTAAGCAACCCTGTAGTCAAAGGCAGTGCTGTTGATGAGGGCGGGTAGGTCTGGAGCAGGAAATATGTGTAGAGCCTTAGGAGAAATACCTTGGGTGATAAATCTCAGCAAATCCGCCCTCTTTCTGGAGAGACAAAGCTGATACACACCTTTCCATGCCCTTGTTTTTCCTAGGTTGGTATCCATTGCAAGGGCTGTTCCCCTAAATCACTTGAAGAAGCTTTTGTAGGACATTGACACTTAAGAAGACTATATCCTGATATCTCTGAGAACCTTTGCATAGGACCCTGACATGGTCCCCCCACTCCCATTGCAGTAAGATAACAAGAATGACTGCAGACATGACAAGAGATGAAGAAAGGTACATGCTGACATTGGAGGCCTTGCGCCCCAGTGCATGGAGGCATCCTCCACACACTCACCTTGTCAGCATTACAAGTGATCACGTGTCCCAGGCCTTTGCATTGCCTGTGCATAGTCAATCTACACACGCAAAACCCTTCATTGCTGGGGTCTGCCAAACTTATAAGAAGCCGCCTTTGTTATATACATCCTAGTATATTTGTTTATCCTGGTTATAAATTGTTGATTCATGGCTGCCTTTTTTTGGTCACGGGTCTCTGACATCTCCTTATCCTTCCAGGGCATTGTGAGAGCAATTCGGGATTACCAGGGCCCTCTAAAGGATCATGAAGTCACTATCTTTGTCCGAAGAGGTGGCCCCAACTATCAGGAGGGCTTACGGGTGATGGGAGAAGTCGGTAAGCTGGGGGACCTCTTCTCTCTCCCACCCTGAGTATCAGGTGGCCTGCCTCCGTGGGATTCCTGAGGGACTCGTCCGTGCGCACCCACTTTCCCTTCTGAGTATGCAGCTCTGGATCAATGCCCTCTGACTTTCTCGTACTTCCATCCTCTGTCCTCGGTGACGCAGAGCCCCTGTCCTAAACTTTAGGGCGTGCAGCCCCTGTTGCTAAGAGCGGTTATGTGTGAAGTAGGGATTTGTGTAAAGTGTCAGAAGGGTCACAGAAATAAGATGTTCTTAGTCCGCGAGCTTGCCTTCTAATTGGAGAGACAAGACCTTTCCATCCTCCCATTTTTCCCGTTTGGTATCTGTGGCAAACACCAAATCCCCCTAAATTACCTGAGGTGGCTCCAAGTCCTAGTTTTCATTCATTTACCTAAAACTGAGTACCTGCTGAGGGCCAGGCCCTGGGGACAGCAAGGTTAGTGTTACCAAGGCGTGCTCTCACAGTTGGGGCATTAAACAAGTAAACAGTTACGTGAACAAGATGCTGTCAGATAGGGATCTATGCTATGAACAGAAGAGAGTGATGTGAGGGAGAGTGGCTGGCAGAGGTGAGGGAAGGCCTTTCTCAGGAGGTGGCACTGGAGCTGAGCCAAGTGATGAGAGAACAGCCAGTGAAGATCTGGGGCTGAGGGAAGAGCAGGGCCAGAGCCCAGAGGAAATTAGCTCGGGGTGTTTAGGAAAAAAGAGGCCAGTGGGGCTGGAGTGCAGAGAACATGGGTATCTGGGGCTGAGGGGTGGGAGAGCTGGGACCAGGCCATGCACAGAGGAGTGTGGACTCTAAGAATGCTTTTGGTCACTTGAGACTTGCCAGTAGAGCTGTTACTTGCTTTGCTTATCAGCAGGTGGTCTTTACAGAGATTTGTTTGGTGGTGAAAATATGACAGCTAATTTGTCCTGGGTGATTGGTCGTACGCAGAAAGCCATAGTTACCTTTGCAGAGTCACGTGGACATGGCTGCTGATGTGAAGACTGAAATGATGGATTCTTTTCCTTCTCCCACAGGGAAGACCACTGGGATCCCCATCCACGTCTTTGGCACTGAGACTCACATGACAGCCATTGTGGGCATGGCCCTGGGTCACCGGCCCATCCCCAATCAGCCACCCACAGCAGCCCACACTGCAAATTTTCTCCTCAATGCCAGCGGGAGCACATCGGTAGGTACCAGTCTTCCGCACTTAAAAGGATCATCTAATCTTATCCACTACTGCCACCACCCTTCTAGAACATTCCATTTGGGGGCATTGGGAAGATATGAAGGGAAGTTAGTACATAGTTGGTTTCTGGATTGCTGTGCCAGTTTATTTCTTCCACAGTCAAGGTAGTATAATGGAAAGAGCAAGAATTTTAAAATCAGACCTGAGTTCAAATTCTGGCTCTTGTTACTTCTTACTGAGGGAGGGGCCTTGGCAGGTATCATTCCCACTCGCACCTGCAGTTTGATCATCTGAAAATACACCCACTCCTCACTTATCGACATGGGTAGGTTCCAAAGACCAAGTCATTATGTGAACATTGGCGTTATGCAAAAATGAAGGATGACCGGATCACAAAATGGAGGATGACTACATAATTACATAATTACCAGATTATATCATTACATAACTGCCAACCCCTGAGAATCATGGCCCAGCCAAGTCAACACATAACCTTAATTATCACAGCCAGTGTTACTCTCGCCTCACACCTTGGCGTTTGTTACTGCCAGTGGGCATTGTTAATGGGCAAAATTGTCAGATAATGGATTTTTTACTATTGTCATAAATGTGAAATGTCAATAAGTAAGGAGTAGGTGTAGCAGTTTTGGGAGCAGCTCATAAAGAACAGTGCTGTTCATTGCTGCATAATTTCTTTGGGGCCTTAAGGACCGATGGCTTTTTTCCCATTGCTACCTGTGATTCCCCCTCTCTCTCCTTGTCCCCCCTCAGACCCCAGCCCCCAGTAGGACAGCATCTTTTTCTGAGTCCAGGGCTGATGAGGTGGCCCCTGCAAAGAAGGCCAAGCCTGCCATGCCACAAGGTAATTCCTACAGGTCTCAGGCACCTTGCAGGGAATGACTCCTCGGCCCCCTCCCTGTCCCTCTTCCCTTTCCGGACCTGCCGGGGCCAGCAGAGGTGATGGAAAGCGGTTTGGGCTTCTCTGTGGGAGTGGGCCTGTGATGGGACGGGAATGTGAGAATGAAGTGACTCGAGTCTGCCCAGTGGGTCTCCTGATTCTGAGGACCCGCACATGCCTGGGTCACTTCATTCCCCACCCTCTTTATCTTCCACCCCCTTTCTTCTGGGGGGTGGTGAGCTGGGCAGGGAAGTTGCAGAGGAGATGGGGCAATGGAAAGGTCTCCCAGACTCTCCTCCTGCGTGGACGGCGGAAGCCCAGAGCTCAGGACGGCAGAGCAAGCTCCTATGGTGGCGAGGCCCACCCTCACCCCCGTCATCTTGGGACTCTTACCACAGCATTCCCTCCCCTGTGAGCCCACCGTAAAGAAATGGCTCATCTACCAGCCCATCTGGACTATGCCTAATTCATTTCTCCATCTGATCCATCAAAGACATGATCCCTGCCAGTCAGCCTGTGTGACCTGTGACCAGCATTAGATAACCAGATCACGATAACTGACATTAGTTTGTTAGCTGATGGCACCTGGACAGCCTGTTTTTGCTACATAGTTTGCTTAAAGCGTTTGTGAAATATTGACGCTAGCTCCAGGGATTCGAGATCGGAAGCCACTGCCCTGAGATCCCCCAAACCAACAGCTTTGTCCACAGCCTGGGGTGACAGGTCCAGTCCTCACACAGGTCCAGTCATCGTGCTTCACGGGGACAAAAAGTGATTGGCATTAAGAGGGTGAGGCAGGGCCAGCTCAGGCACCCAGCTGTTCCTCCAGAGGATACCCTGGCCTGGGGAGGCCTCAGTGTTCTACACCTGCTCCTGGCCCCTTGCATTGCCCCTCCCTCGCCCCTCCCTCTACCGCTTTGGTTCTCTGCCCTTCCTTGCTCCCACTCTGCCCATCGATGCTTTCCCCTCTTCCGTTGGCCTTCCTCCTCTTGTCTATTGTGGAGCAGACAAGAGATGGTGAGGGCTTCGCCCTAAGAGGCTTGTCCATAGCACCTGTCCCTGCTCCCACCCTCTGCCTCCAAAGCCTCCAGCTGTCAGCCGGTCACTCAGTTGCCTTGGTCATTTTCTTTGACAGATTCAGTCCCAAGTCCAAGACCCCTGCAAGGTAGGATGCCCGACCCCCACCCCGACCCCAGCTCCATGTGTGGCTTTGTTTTCAGTTACCATTTTTCCATGTGCTTTGTTTCCCCCTCCCCTGGCGGGTTGCAGTGTTGTCTGGTACATTTTCTGTCCCTGCCTCGGTGTGGCCTGCCCCCAAGCCCTAGTCTTCCTCCCTTCCCAACCACTGCTTAGTGTGTGCCCCCCTCACTGCTCTCCTCGCGGTACGACCCCTCTGACTGAGCTGGGGAGGGGGTGGAGGCTGTAGAAGGAGCGAGAGCTAGGCCACAGCTTTGGAGAGTGGAGTGGAGCAGCGAGGAGGGAGCCATCAGAACTGAAGAGGGAGTGGCCGAGAGTAGTGGGCGCTGCTACAGGCACGCAGGAGGGGGAGCTGCGGGTCACTCTGTCTCGTTTACTTCTTCTAATGTCATCGGGTTCTTGCTTTTTCTGCCTTAGCCTCACCACTGCCGACTTCATCCCAGAGCTCCTAACAGCAGGGACAAGCTTTCGGTGGAAGAGCAAGATAGCTAGATAGACAGTGAGAGAGCTAGAAACCCGGAAGGGTGTGCGGTGTATCTGTAGACTGGGGAATTGGCGAGAATCTGGGCTTTGTCTAGTGTATGAGGTCATGGTTTACAGTGGACATTTTCTGTGTCTGCGTGTGCACACACGTGGAGTCCCTGGGTGGTGCAAATGGTTAAATGCTCAACTGCTAGCCGACAGGTTGGAGCTTTGAGCCTACCCAGAGGTGCCTCGGAAGACAAGCCTGGCCATCTGCTTCCGAAGGGTCACAGCCTTGAAAACCCAATGGAGCAGTTCTGCTCTGCACAAGAGGTCGCCATGAGTTGCAATTACTGATGGCGACTGACAACAACATGCACACACGCGCACACATTCATCTCTTGACCTAGGTGAGTTGATTAATCTGTTCAAAGAAAGCATGGGGCTTCCGCTTAACTTCTAGACATTCACAGTAATGGGAGATTATGTAGGGGTGTGGGGGTCTTCTGAAGATGACCCTTGACCCCTCGCTAAGAGTAATGGAAGGAGTGGTCAGAACAATCACGCTGGAAAGGCCAAGAATGCAGCCCTTTGACCCTTCGTTTTATCTCTACTTTTCCTGCCTCTGGTAAGATCCACTGTTACCTAAAAGGCAGAGCAGAGTCAGAGCCCTGTGCAGAAAAAACGGGGGCAGAATCGTTCCGCAGAGAGCTCTCCCACCCAGGGGCTGAGGGTTGTGGGGAGCAGGTTCTGTTCTCGTTCCTGCCCGTCACTGAGCAGCGCTGAGAAGTGGGAGAGGAAAGGGCAGGTCAGGGAGAGAGAACAGGTTATGCCGGGATCCTTCCCTCACCCTGACCTAGGAGGAGCCTGGTGGTGTGAGCTGGGGGAAGCCTGGTTCTTAGGGTTCCCCTACTGCTGGTGGGCTGAGGAGTGCCCCCTTCAGCTTTGGTTTCTCTGCGCTTAAGGAGGGAGCACTCTTAGGTCCTGCCTTTCCTGAGCTCCTTTCACGCTGGGGTGAGGGTAGGCTTGTAGAGATTGCTGGCTTGCTCTTCTAGCTTCTGTAGACAGATGTGTGTGTGTACAGATGTGTGAATGTGCATGCATACTCACGCCGACGCAGTGTGGGCCCCCCTTGGGAAGGGGCAGGGCCCGGAAGTGCTGACTTATCTTCTCCCTCCTCAGTTGCACAATTGAGCTGTGTCTTAAATTATTCCACAATCCTGGTTCTGATGTTAGATGACCTAGGATCCGTCATTTGGCATCTCTGGGCTTCGATTTCCTGGGACTGGGAAGTGAGGGAACTGGATTAGGTGGCTTCCCTTGTTCTGTGAGCTCATGAATCAGGGGAACCCAGATGGGCCCCGGTGACAGTAAATCCCAGGCATTTGCAAAATCGGGAACTTTCTGTCATCAGGAGCTTACGTCTGTGTTGGAAGAGGCTGGCCTATAGCGATGAGAATCCTACATGCCTTGGGAAATAATCTCTTAAATTTATCTAAGCAGACCTTGGTTAGCCAAGCCTGCACTGGTACAGTGGGTTAATTAATACCAGACGCCACTGAGTTTGATGCATTGCTCTCCCTGGGGGACTGAGCACCTCCCCTGTGGGCTGCTTGCCTCCTCCTGGATTGGCAGGGAGCTGGAGGGGAGGGTCACCTGCCAGCAGGTGATGAAGGGTCCCTTCAGGCTGAGAAATGCATTTGTGCCCGCTGCTTTGTTCCCTTCTTTTTGACCCTCACCTCTTTCCTGTCCACTGGCGATCCTGTCCCAGAGCATTGTCAGAGCAGGAAAGAACTGCCTGGTAAAGGAGAAAAGGAGGGGAGGACTATACCCCAGCCTGGTGCCAGAGCTGGGCGGAACCTCAGTGACAGTGAAGGCTGCCCTGTCTCCTGCAACTCCGGCGACAGCGGACCTCTTCTTTGGACTTACACAGACCTAGAATTCCTGAGAATTCAAACCCTGACCTGGTTTACATCCAGATTTACAGGGAGATAAGGACTGCTGAAGAGTTGTTTGAAGTCCTGAGGTCAGCAAAATTGGGAGAAGCCTAATATTTTTCCAGCTGGCTTTAAAAATAATTTGTCTAGACTTCATTTGCATATAAGCAAGAGGCTGGTGACACCTCTTTCCTTTGAAATTAAGCAGGTCCTGTCGGAATTCTCCTCCTTGGAGTCTTCGTCTCTGGGGCCTGTTCTTGTATGGGGAGACCTTTCTCTGTTCATTCAGAGCTTTTTACCGGCCAGGCAAGCCGTCTTAGCTCTTTTTGCTCTCTCTCTGCCACCTCCTTCCAGAGGAAATTTGTGGTAGTTATCCTCCAAGTTCTCAGACTTCATCCCCTTGACATTTCTTTGCAGTTTCGATGGGCCACCATCCCTGTACTTGGGGTGTACAGGGTCTGGTGGGCGGCCCTTGCCCCTGCGAGTTTCCTGGGGAGTGTATTCTGGGTGCACTCTCTGTGTCTTTGCCCACCAGGGAAGAGCACCACCCTCTTCAGCCGCCACTCCAAGGCCATTGTGTGGGGTATGCAGACCCGGGCCGTGCAGGGCATGCTGGACTTTGACTACGTGTGCTCCCGAGACGAGCCCTCGGTAGCCGCCATGGTCTACCCATTCACGTGAGTCTCACCACAGCAGGAAGACTTGCCAAGCAGGATTTCCTCACCTAATCCCCCCCCTCTGCTAAGACAAGATTGGAGTGGAGGACATAGCTGGCTTATCCACTTTGCTGGGGAAGGGTCTGTTTATTTCAGAGACTGGGGTGATCAGTGTTCTGGATGGTCTTTTTCCATCAGATGGAAGCTCTTTCAGGGCAGACTCTGCCTCTTCCACCTTCTGGGTGAAGTTTCTCCCCTCGACGTCTCCCTTCCCAGCTCTGCAGAGACAGAGGGGAAACCTCCCAGTCCTGACAAGTTGGGAGTGCCCTAACCTTTCCCCCCCTTTCTTACAGTGGGGACCACAAGCAGAAGTTTTACTGGGGTCACAAGGAAATCCTGATCCCTGTCTTCAAGAACATGGCGGACGCCATGAAGAAACACCCGGAAGTAGATGTGCTGATCAACTTTGCCTCACTCCGCTCAGCTTATGACAGTACCATTGAGACCATGAACTATGCACAGGTAGGTCCATGGGCCCTGAGGGCTGGAGGTGGGGTCCACAGTCACTACCACCTGGGACAAAGGAGTTGGGATTTGGGAGTGGCCTGTTTGGGTGAAAGTGGTTGGAGATGCCTGATCTTTAGAAGGCAGAGTAGTAACAGAGGGCAGATAGGACTGGGCAGTGACTACTTAAATGGATTTATAGGCAATTCAGAGTCATCTGCCCCTTCTAGCTCCTCTGTGCTACTGGAGGCTGGCTTTAAAAATAGAATCAAAAGCATTTTCTTATTATAAAAGTATTGCATACTTATAGAAAAATTTAAAAATACTGATAAATAATAAAAAAATAAAACCTCAAGTCCTGTGTCCCACAAACAGCCGCTGATGTTCAAGTATATCCTTATCCACACCTTTTTCTGGATTTGAACAAATGCAATAATGTCACATGTAACTATTTTATAATCTGCTTTCTTCACTTACTCTTTCCACATCAATAAATTTATTGGAAACATCATTTTTGCTCTTTCAAGTCTTGGAATAAGTGTCCTTAGATTACCATTTGCACATCTCCTTGATTATTTCCCTGGTGTAAATTTCTAGAATTTGAACTACTGCATCTGTGTGTGCAGATTTGAAAGCTTTGATGCATCCTGCCCAGGTGCCTTCCAGAAAAGTCGTACTGATGTAAACTCCCATCGGTAGTTTGAGAGTGCCTGCTTCCCTGTACCCATGCCAGCACTGAACGTTTGGATTTAAAAACACATACAATTTGTCAAATTGATAGGCAATCTATTTAATTTGCGTATCTTTGACTATTACCTGAGATGCGCTTTTTAAAGCATTTATTGGCCATTTGTTTTCTATGACTTGCCCTTCACCTTTGTTTTTCTGTTGAGGTGTTTGTTGTTTTTTGTTATTGATCTGCAAGGGCCCTGTATAGATTAGGATATTGATTCTTCTGTTCAAAATTATTCTCCAGTCCCAGGTTGGCTTATTTCTGTCAGTGATTGGAGAATAGAAGCTTGTTTTGAAGACTAGATGAAGCGAAAAAGAAAGCATGCCTGCTAAAAGCAAGCTACTTTTTAACTCTAGAGCAGAAGTTGGCAAACTACAGCCCAAAGGTGACATCTAGCCTGCCTCCTGTTTTTGTAAATAAAGTTTTATTGGAACACAACCATGCTCATCATTTACATATTACCCATGGCAGAGTTGAGTGGTTGCCACAGAGATCATACGACTTACAAAGCCTAAAATACTGATAGGCTCTTTGCAGTAAAAGTTTGCCAGCCTTCTGGTCTAGAGTCAAATGGAGATGGTTTTTGGACCCTCCCCTACTCCCCATCCCCCTGGCTTTCTCCCCTAGCTTACTTTCTGGTCTGAGTGAAAACAGCTCATTTTTCTCATGTACTGACCCTGTCCTGTGGGGACATAGAGTCAGATTCAGGGAGAGCACAGTGGAGAAAACCATAGATAGCTGCCTTATAAGCAGACACAGGGAAAGGTAGGGAACAGGTGGGTCTGATTCTTAGGAATTTTTAGGTCGAAGAAAATATAGCAGCTTTGACTGTAGCAGGTACTCAGAAACATTTGCTCCTGCTCAGTTACTGAATTGCTCTGTTGTTAACCAGTTGTCCATTGCCTCGCTTTTTGGGAGAGAGTTGATCAAAGAAGGCCTGTGGGAAGAAGGAGGTGCATACTATTACCATTACTTTGTTCTTAGAGCCTGGAAGGGGGCAAAGGGGGCTTACCAGTTGGTGCCTCATTGCCCTGTCTTTGGCAAAAGGTTAACAGAAGGGAACTGTTCTCATCCTCTAGATCCGGACCATTGCCATCATAGCTGAAGGCATCCCAGAGGCCCTCACAAGGAAGCTAATCAAGAAGGCGGACCAGAAGGGAGTGACCATCATTGGACCTGCCACTGTAAGCTCCCCCTAGAAGGCTTTCCTTTAAATCTGAGGCTATGGTATGAAGTTAGGTCCTCAGGGAGCTTGTAGACTCTCTGTCTCTCTCCAAGGCTGAAGAGACCTAGAGAGTACCAGATGGCATCAGCCGCCTACTTCCAATTAACTTTTTAAAGTCTGTATCACCTTTATAGTTTCAAGGGGCTAACGAAAAGATTTTTTTTTTTTAGTACTTTTCCACCCGCATGCAACAATAACATAGTCTTTGATTATTCCCTTAACTACAAACCAAAGAAAAAGTTACCTGGAGGCCTTATTTTTAACCCAAAGATCTGCAAGTAAGAAGAAATTGCTCTGTGAATCTTTTTCTTTGTTTTTACTTGTTGCATTAAAAATCTGTTGAAAGTGAAGATTTTTGAACTAAGGTACCCTCCATCTCAGAGGCAGGGGGATTTTTAGCAGAGAAGTGCACCTATATTATAGGCCAGTGACCCTTATGGGGTGCTGCAGCCCTCTTGGAGCAAGAGAGGTAACTTAACCTTGAGTGTCCATTTGAATCTTCAGTAGTAAGCCATGTTTTCACCACTGAGACTCTGCTTTTTCTATAATGTTTCTTGAGGGAGAGAACAGATTCTTCCTAAGCAGAAAACCCAGTGGGCAGGTGGTAGTTCTCTTGGCCATTTTCTTCCCAGCCTGGCCAGAGTGGGTTGTGCAGGTAGTACCAGGGCTCTGCGATTCCTCTGAGCTCTGTGATCAATCAGGGACTCGTCTTCCCTCCCTCCCACCCTGACTGCTGTTTCTGCCCCTGCAGGTTGGAGGCATCAAGCCTGGATGCTTTAAGATTGGGAATACAGGTGGAATGCTGGACAACATCCTGGCATCCAAGCTGTACCGCCCTGGCAGCGTGGCTTATGTCTCACGTTCTGGGGGCATGTCCAACGAGCTCAATAATATTATCTCCCGGACCACGGACGGTGTCTTTGAGGGTGTGGCCATTGGTGGGGACAGGTAAGCAGTGGACTAGAAGATAGGATTCTGGATCCTTAATCTCAGCTTGCTGCACTGAGTCCCAGGTCCATAGGAATGCTGTTTAAGTCCATCAAATGGGGTATCTCTGCTCTTGTTGCAGGACTGACTTGAACATCAAATCAGGAAGTACAGGGAAAGGTGTTTTTAAAATTTGTTTGGGCTTTATGGTCCTTCTGTCTGGTGTCTGAGGTGTGACCACTGGGAGGCAGCAGAGTGCATGATTAGCCAGGCCAGTTCTGAAATTGGACCCAAGGAGTTCAAATCCACTTTACCTGTCTACCAGCAGGGGGTCCTGGGCAGGCTGCTTAACCTCCCTAGACCTCCATCATCCCTACATATCAAACCAAACCTGTTGACATCGAGTCAGTTCCGACTCATGGTGACCCTATAGGACAGAGTAGAACTGCCCCATAGAGTTTCCAGGGAGCGGCTGGTGGATTCAAACTGCTGACCTTTTGGTTAGCAGCCGAGGTTTTAACCACTATACCACCAGGGCTCCCCCTACATATCACATGGGTAAAATTATAGCACCTGCCTCATGAGGATTAAATGAGATCGTGTATATAAAATACCTAACATAGGGCCTGACACTTACGTAGCAAGTTCATAATGAGTGTTAGCCATTATTAATGGTTTATTATTACTACTACTGGGACAATGATCACTACACCGTTTGGCTCAGAAATCAAAAGCTACTAAGACAGTGAGTCACCTTGTCAATCTCCTGGTTCCACCAGATCATTTCAGGTGGAATGCCTGGATGAAGAAGGACCCTCACTGAGGTCTTCAGGGGTGTGGCCTGGGGAACCCTAGTCTACAGATGCTCCCTGACAAAAGGCTCCTGGTCAATTAAGTCTGGAAGATGTTGCTTGCTATATTGTCCTCTTGGATTTTTAATGCTGTTGAGCATATCAAGGGTACATAAAACTCTGCAGAGATGCCTGCTTGGTTTTTAAGCAACACTTTTGTAAACTCATGTGACAATAGAAAATTGAAAACAAAAATTATAGAACTTCTAGTAACCACCTATCATCCTTGGTGTTCTATGGGACATAGCTTGGCATATTGTATTCTCTCTTGCTGTGTAAAACATTACCCCAAAACTTAGTGACTTCAGACAATAATAACCATTTATTTTCCTCACAGTTTCTGTGGGTCAGGATTCAGGAGGAGCTCAGTTGGGCAGTTCTGGCTTAGGGTCCCTTGTGAGGCTGCAGTTGGCTGAAGGCTTGACTGGGGCTGGAGGCAGCTTATTCACGGGCCTGGCAAGTTGGTTCTTTCCTATGCGGACGTTTCCACAGGCTGCTTGAGGGTCCTCAGAACATGGCAGCTGGCTTCTCCCAGAGTGAGTGATTCAAGAGAGACAGTGCCAGGCAGAAGGTATTCTTTTTATAATCTAGCCTTGGGAGTCAATGTCATAGAATTAGTTTTGCCACATTTTGTTCATTAGAAGCGAATTACTAAGTCTGGCCCACACAAAAGGAAAGAAAGCAAGCAATACCTTTTTCAAAGAATTGGTGGACGTATTTTAAAACCACCATTACGTGTGTTCTCCGGGCCCTGTCTTACTGTCAAGTGAGCCTCTCCTTTGCAAGCGCTCTTCTTCTTTCCCTTCCCTTTCCTTGTGCTCCATTTGCTACCCGCTCCACGCCCCCAGAATTCCTAAGACATCTGGACCCTCCCTGGGTATCCACACCCAAGACAAATTCCACAGTGTTCCTAGAATGAACATGCTTCCCATGCCTATTCACACACACACCCCCAAGCCTCCTCCTGATCCCATGTGTCCTCTCTGCTCTCGACAGGTACCCCGGCTCAACGTTTATGGATCATGTCTTACGTTACCAGGACACTCCAGGAGTCAAAATGATTGTGGTTCTTGGAGAAGTGAGTTACTTTTAAAAAAACAAAAAAAACCTTTTTCTGATTGCAAGAGTAATGCAAACATCCAAGCACTTGTTTATATATAACTTAAAGTGACAGTCCCTGGTAATTCCCATCCCCTAGACTCTGGAGCCTAGAGATTGTCACTGTTTAACACTGCCGTGTATGTTCCAGAAAAAAAGAGTCCTTGCCCTCCAGTGGCCTGAGACCTTTTAGTTCCAGCAGAGAATCTTTGCTCTGGCTGACCATGGCCTCTACCTGGTGGCCAGCGGATAGCTGGAGTAAAAAGTAACATTTTTTAAAAGTTAGAAGAGACCTAGAACCCCATGCCTTGCTCCCAGTGGTGGATGAACCAGAAAGCAAGGTACGCACGGGCTTACTTGTGCTTACTTACTAATCTGTAGCGCATAATTTCACCTGTTTTTCACCACATCAAAGATTAATAAGTAAACACAAGTAAGCCCGTGCATCCCTTGCTGATTGGGTAGTCTGTCCCTGCTTGCTCATGCCTTTGAGCAGGTCTGATGCTAAATCATCCTATTACCCCCAAATCAGGAAAGAGGAGTCCCAGGGAGAACTGCTGTTCCTTTTAAATCCTCCTTGCATCCAGTATAAAGCTTCCAGCCTGAAACCTAAACTGTCTTCCTGTTACCTGGCCAAAGCCCATGTCCCTTCATTCTTTTGCCAAGTTGTAACTCATAGGATACTTGATGACTTTTGGCCCCTGCTCAGTTTGGGGCAGCTTTTCCTGATCTTGGTAAACTTGGCGGCTGTCAGTGCAGCTCTTGAAACAATTCCAGGTGGGCCCTGCTAACTTGGTGGCTTTGTCTTGTTCCCATTCTTCGGCAGATAGGAGGCACTGAGGAATATAAGATCTGCCGGGGCATCAATGAGGGCCGCCTTACCAAGCCTGTGGTCTGCTGGTGCATCGGGACCTGTGCCACCATGTTCTCCTCTGAGGTATGTTCTGGGCCCTTTTTCAGAAGCATGTTCCACAAAACACTGACCCTGTAGCAATGGTCCTCAAAACAAAACAAACAACAAACCAAAAAAAAAAAAAACAGAAAAAACAAAGGCACTTCTGTAAGTTAGGAAAATGCTATATCATTTATCCCCCTCTTAGGAATTTTGGTGTTAGTTTGAATCCCATAGTGAAAATTGTTGGACCTTGTTGAACCCACGGTTTTCTAAGTTTACTTGAATATAGAATCTCTTCCCCTTCCCACCCCATCCACCCATGCATATTAAATCCTACAAAGAACCCATTGGGAACCCGCACTTTAAGGCATGTTGTTTTCAAGCTTTGTTAACTAAAGCAACAGTTCCTAAACTTGCACCACTAAAGGCCACTAAATATTCAAGGCACAGACTCTGAGGCCAAATTGCATGGGTTCAAATGCTACCCCAGACTAACTGTGTGACTTTGGGCAAGTAACTTGACCCCTCTGTGCTTCCATTTCCTTATTTGTAGGAAACAACTGTAGTTATTGGAAAGATTAAATATGTAAAGCTCTTACAAAAGTGTTGCGCATAGTTAACTGGTTACTATAAACCAGTTAGGGGTCCTGGTGGCACAGTGGTTAAAGTACTTGGCTGCTTACTAAAAAGTCAGAGATTCGAACCCACCAGCCGCTCCGCAGGAAAAAGAAGTGACAGTCTGCTTCCGTAAAGGTTTACAGCCTTGAGAAACCTATGGGGCAGTTCTACTCTGTCCCGTACGGTTGCTGTGAGTTGGAATCGACTCAATGGCAGCGGGTTGTGTTCTGGTTTTGTAAATGGGTTAGATTTTATTATGATTACATACCCCCAACCCTGAGTCTGTGTTTTTCAGAGTTTTGTACCTGATGTTTCATCAGGCTTATTTCATTCTCGCCATTACTTGGTTAAAGACACAGTTGCCACTTAGCTCTTCTGACTGGTTTTCTCTTCCCTCTAGCTCATTCTCTCTAGCCAGTCAATCCCCATATTCCATCAGATTTAATACCTCAAAGCTTGCTCAGGTGGCAGGGGGCAGTCACTGCTTGACTCCAGGCAGTTCTTGCTGTGTGGGAATATGGACCTGTTGTTGTGTGCCTTCAAGTCGATTTCCGACTCATAGTGACCCCATGTGACAGAGTAGAACTGCCCCATAGGGTTTCCTAGGCTATAATCTTTATGCGAGCAAATCATCAGGTCTTTTCTCCCTTGGAGTGGCTGGTGGGTTTGAACCACTGACCTTATGGTTAGCAGCCAAGCACTTAACCACTGTGCCACCAGGGCTCCTTCAATATGGCCCTGGTAGTACACAATCTTCTGACTTTTTAGAAGAAGCTCAGAATTTGTATTTTTACAGGAAATCTGCTTTTTTTTTTATTTTTTTATTTTTTGCTTTATTATTTTTATTGACCACAGTATTTCATTGTTGGGAAGTACCATGCCATAATTTAGCTAAGTGACACCTTATTGGTGGTTACTGTTTCCAACATATTTATATTAAAAACCATGCTACATGAGTATCTTTGAACATACAGCCTTTATACCTGTTAGAGTAGTATCTGAAGAATACATTCCTAGAAGTGTTGTTTTTATTTTTCTAATGTGAGTGCATATTTTATAAAAAAGTATGTGTGCAACAATCAGATCATGTCTGTGAGTTCAACTTAGCCTAAGGCTGCCAGTTTGCAACCTCACATCTCACATATGGCTCAAACACAGCCTCTATTCCCCATCCCCTGACCACTGCCCAGGGGAAGCTGAATGTGTCTTAGTATTAAGAAGGTGGTTCTGGAGTTGGGCTGCCAGGCTTTGTATGCTGGTTCCAAGACACTCTGGCTGTGTGACCTTAAAACCCAAAAACCCCTAGCAGTTGAGTAGACTCCGACTCATAGCAACCCTATAGGACAGAGTAGAACTACCTCATAGGGGGTTTCCAAGGAGTGGCTGGTGGATTTGAACGGCTGACCTTTTAGTTAGCAGCCTTAACTCTTAACCACTGCGCCATGCTTAAGCTTCTGTGCCTGTTTTCTTATCTGTAAAATGAGAATCATCCTACCTGTTTAGTGAACTTGGCTTCAGGCTTGATGAAGTGATTTGTGTGAAGCACAATGCAGGCCTGTCATCTGTATTGACACGGCCCAGGATGTCTGTGCCCTCTCTCGGAGGACCAACGAGCCCTGTAGAGCTGCTCTCCTTTGCCTTCCAGGTTCAGTTTGGCCATGCTGGGGCTTGTGCCAACCAGGCTTCTGAAACCGCAGTAGCCAAGAACCAGGCTCTGAAGGAGGCAGGAGTGTTTGTGCCCCAGAGCTTTGATGAGCTTGGAGAAATCATCCAGTAAGTGGACCTTGTAGAAGATGCCAGCTTCTCCCTCCATTTCGAAATCCCTCCCTAACCCAGGCTGCTCCCCAAGGACAGCAGCCTTCCCAACCCGGGGTGTCTGATATTCCTGGTCCTTCTCGGGTGTCGAGCACAGCTATAGGGATGGTCCCAAATACTTTTTTTTTTTTCTCTTTGTCTTTTGATTTGTTTTGTTAAAACAGCAGCTTTGTCCTGCCCAGTTACAGGCCATTCAGGCTGGTGTTAAAACGTGTTCAGTTTCTAAGCCTACCTACCTGGCTGAGAGATGGATACCACAAATGAGAGATGAGCATAGAAATGTTTAGAGAGTGTTCCCTCGAGTCGGTTGATGAAGTTGTTAATTGGATATCCTCTTGCTTCTCCCTGCTTCTATCTCTTAAACCTGCCTGGGCTGCTCCCCTTTTATCCTTCTTTGGTTTCCAGATTCAGCTTTCTGAAAAGCCCTGTTTAGAGAAGGGAAGGTGGGGGCAGTTTGGCCAGTACCTCGTTTCATTTTGTTTTGAGAATCCAACTGGTAAGAGTAAGCCACTGACAGGAGAGGGTGCAGGGATGAAGAAGGCTAAGGTGTCGAGGGCAAGAGGAGTATTCCTGGGAGGCTTAGAAAAGTCCGGAATAATAAAATCCACATGGATGTCTTTTCTCCTGCCCCTCCCCCGCCTCTCAGGTCTGTGTATGAGGATCTTGTGGCCAAAGGAGTCATCGTACCGGCTCAGGAGGTGCCACCCCCGACTGTGCCAATGGACTACTCCTGGGCCAGGGTAGGTGCCTTGTACTTTCTTAATGATATGGGCAGGAGAGATGGGGCAGTGGGCTAAGATGGGGTGGTACCGGGCATTGACGCTTGGATTCCAGCCCCTCCTTGGGTGCTGGAGTCAGCTTGTGACGTGGCTCCTTCTGACCAATGAGTAAAACGAATGCAGCGCCCACAAGGACCGGCAGCAGCCGTGTGTCCCCCACAGCTTGGTCACCTGACCTGGAAATGGAGGCATATGTCCTAGAGTTGCTCAGGACTTGCTAAGGGACTTCAGGAGTGAAGTAGAGAGTCCACTCTGCCTAAATGACCACAGGGCATATGATAGATGAAGAGCGAATTTTCTTAACGTACAATGACTCTCAGAAATCAATAAAAAGAGACCAGAGTAGGAAATGACCTTTCACCATGAAAAAATGCTCAACCTCCCTCATTATAAAAGGAACCAAAGTAAAAGTTACGATACCAATTTTCCTCTAGCAGGTCAGCAAAGATAAAGAAAGTTCTTTGATAACATGTTGTGTTTGTTAGGGTATGAGGAAACCGGTACATTCATTCCTTGTTCGTGAGCATGGAAATTGATACCACCTTTCTGAAAGACAGTTGGGCAATGTATCAAATTGAAAACTCCTCATACCTATGGCCCAGCAGTTAATTCCATGTCTAGAAAACTACACCAGAAAAATGCTTGTGCATATAAACAAAGAAACATGTCTAAGAATTTTTTTTTAGTTAATAGGTGTTGATAAGGAATGGCTAAACTGTGGTATAAGGAGCCCTGGTGGCACAACGGGTAAGCACTTGGCTGCTAACTGTAAAGTTGGTGCTCAAACCTGCCCAGCGGCTGGCTCCACAGGAGAAAGACCTGGCAATCTGCTTCCATAGATTACAGTGTAGAACCCTATGGAGCAGGTCTCCTCTGCCACATGGGGTTGCTATGAGTCAGAATCGACTCGATGGCACCTAACAACGACAACAAACTGTGATATTATAGGATACTACACACGACTAGATTTATGTGTACCAACATTTATAGAGCTCAGATTCATTGAGTAAACAAAGCACATGATGGGACAGTGTATTATCATATGATTAAAAGTCCATAGGGGTAGTTGAAGAAGTTGGGCAGAGTTGGCTGATGCTGTCCCAGGGGTGCCCCAGCTCTGGAAACAGGAAGTTTAGGAGCTCAGATCACTGCTGCCTTTCCACCCTTATTTCCCTTGCCCTCCTACCTTGGGTGAAGGACATATCGAGGGGCTCCCCCATTTCCACAGCCACGTGCCTCATTACATTTTGGCGGGCAGTTGGCAGTTACATGTGAAGAGTTTAAAAGATTTCCATTTGGATTAAGAAATGGACTCTAAGATTTCATAGCCATGTGACCTTGGGCTGGTTACTTGGCCTCTCTAAGCCTCGTTTACTGTAACATGGGGAACGAGATTCTCCCTTGTGGGATTAAAGTGATCCAGTGGAAGTTAGCTGCTTAGCATACTGCCTGGCCTAGTAAATACTCAGTAAAGAACAGAAATAGCGCTAGTGCTGAGTGCCTGCCATGGGCGTGGCGTCCCTGTTTTCTGTGCCCTAAATGATCTGAAAAAAACTTTTTGTACTTCTTTCTTGGGAGGAGTTTGTCTGAGATTTGTTGTGTGGCCTCCAGAATTGAAGACATTCTGATTCTGAGAATACAGACAGTGGAATGGTCCTGGAAAACTCTCTGTGGTCACCATAGCCCTGCTTTTCTCTGCCCCATCTCTGCTCAGGAGCTGGGCTTGATCCGCAAACCCGCCTCGTTCATGACCAGCATCTGTGACGAACGAGGGCAGGAGCTTATCTACGCTGGCATGCCCATCACCGAGGTCTTTAAGGAAGAGATGGGCATCGGCGGAGTTCTCGGCCTCCTCTGGTTCCAGAGAAGGTGAGGCACAGAGAACAGAAGACGGTAGGGCCCTGCAACTCAGAGTTAGTGATTCTCCCCTCACGGGCTGGGCTGGGTAGGCTCGGGGAGTATGTCCAGGGTCAATCTTTATGGCCACAGATCAATTGAAAGGACAAAGGAAGGACACACGGGCTGTTCTCCAAGGACTGAAAGGCCAGTCTAAGAGGAAAGCAATGACCTCATCGGGTATCTAGGAGCAGCCTCTTTCCCTTGGGAACTTTTAAGGAAATGGGACAGTCGGTAAATGCAGGCCTCTTGAGAGAAAGGTAGGGGTAAGCAAGGGAGATCTGGAAGGATCTGGTAGCTCAACGAGTGGGCCTGGCAGAGTTGCTGAACAGGCTTAGTTGAAGTACCTCATTGTATCCTCTTTGTAAACTTGTGTCTCTTATCAGCCTGAATGTTAGAGAAAATTGATTTTGTCTGCAACTTCTAAAGCTAGCTGAGCCTGGGACCGACAGCTGGGCAAGGGGACAGTGAACATGTGCTCCATGGAGCCCTGGCTTGGGGTGGCACTGGGCAGAAGCCAGGTCTTGGTTTGTGTCATGCCCTCAGCTGTGGAGAGACAGGTCTTTTTCCTGCTTTGGGCCCTTCCTGGAAAAAGTTCACAGGTTGTAACACGTGAGCAGGTTTCACTCTGTCTGCTCTTGCATCTCCAGACTTTGTTCTTGATGGTTAGTTGGGAGGTTGACCACTGTGCAGGAGGCCTGGGCCCACACACTGTGAAAGGGACCAGAGGTCTCACCTCCTCTCTGGCACATGGAGCGTAGCCACAAATACAAGTCATATCCTGCTGCAGCAACTCAGGCTGAAACTACCGCCTAATGAAGAGATTCCAAGCCCTGGTTGCTAGCCCTGTTTTAAAAGTAGTATTTGATAGCAGCCAAGTCCAGAGTTGTCCAAGCATGAGGAAGTTTTGCCTTGGAATTGTAATGATAGTGTTAGACTTGGATTGGGCCCTTCTTGAATGGGGAAAGTGACTTGTTCAGGGAAATAGGGAAAGCAGGGACATGTCCTTGTCAGCATACCTCATGTTCAACAGTTCACCTCTGTTCCAACTCTCCTCTTCTTGCTGCTTTACTCACCCCCACTAGGTTGCCCAAGTACTGTTGCCAGTTCATTGAGATGTGCCTGATGGTGACAGCTGATCATGGGCCAGCCGTCTCGGGGGCTCACAACACCATCATCTGTGCTCGGGCTGGGAAGGACTTGGTCTCCAGCCTCACCTCAGGGCTGCTGACCATCGTAAGTACTGTCACCCTGGGAGGTGAGTGGGGACATTGGGCTTGGCATCATGCTGCTTGGCTGCAGCTGAGTCCTAGAAGGAGCCCCTGGTTGTAAAACCCTGTGCAGGTTGCTGTTCAGAACATACCAGATTGGTTTGCGACGCTGCAGGAGACTCTTGCAACTCAGGGCAACACAGGGCTGTTTCTCCTGCAGGGGGATCGGTTTGGGGGTGCCTTGGACGCAGCCGCCAAGATGTTCAGTAAAGCCTTTGACAGTGGCATCATCCCCATGGAGTTTGTGAACAAGATGAAGAAGGAAGGAAAGCTGATCATGGGCATTGGTCATCGAGTGAAATCGGTGAGCTGTTGCTCTCCTTAAGGGGTGGGTCTGGAAGACCCAGTGGGTGATGACAATAGAATATCAGTTTAGTTTGGAACACCCACGCCCTCGACTCCCAAAATGTGAAGCATTGGACATGTTAACAGGTGCATGTTGTAATAGAGATTGCCCTTAAACAGTTTTTACCTTGTTAAATGGTAGCATGAAAATATGATGAGCTGGAAACTTGGTAACTTTAGCTTCCCAAATGAACTTTATAGGAGAAAGGACTAAGGTCCGAATAAGCGGGTCTATCAGTTAATTTAGGCTAGATAATGCTGCAGTAACAAACAATTCCAAAAATCTCAGTGGCTTAGAACAGCAAAGGTTTATTTCTTACACTACATCCACTGAGGGTTGGCTGCAGCTTTGTTCTATGTCATCTTTATTCTGGGACCTCTGCTGCAGGAGCAGCCCCTGTCTGGGATGTGCTGGTCTCACGTCAGAAGGGAAACTGCAATGGCAGAACCCTGTAAAGGCTGTTACAGCTTCTGCTTGGAAGTCTCATGGTGCACTTACACTCATGTTTCATTGGCCAAAGCAAATCACATGGTTAAGTCTGACATCACTGGGGTAGGAAGTCTAAATACCGTGTTTTTATGCAAATTACCTGCACCTTCTATGTTTGTTTGCCAACCCGACTTCCCCTGCTATTCTAATTTTTTTTTTTTTGGTTGGTTTTAGAAAGCGAAGTGAAAGAGAAGAGGTATCTGGCAGCTGTTAAGGGCCTTACAGGGGCAGCACCTTAGTAGGTCCTTTTGTCCCAGGGTCCTTGGCCTGGTAACTCCAGAAACCTTATTTAGTCAGGCAACTTGCTGGTCTGGGCAGGGAAAGTGACTCATATTAACACAAGAGGGTCCTGCATGAATGGGCGAGTAAGGGGCATCCCATCCCCATGGCAGGAGTGTCCCTCATGTGTGTGATCCAGGACACTCCCTTCCAGGCATCCAAATGCTTGGCCAGCTCAGGTTAGAGATCCAGAGTTTGCTTGGTGAGCAAGGGCTGGGTCAGGGCCAGGGAAGGTGTTTAGTTCTGCAGAACATTCCATCCAGAGCTTGTTGGACCTTGCTCTGCCACCCCCAGCTCCTGAGCAGACAGCACCTCTCCAGTCTACAGCTTAGGCCTCTTTCCAAGATCACACTAGACCTGTACTGCCACACTCAGTCTTTCTTGGGTTCTGGACTGACCTAGTGTGCCTCTTTTCTGAGGGAGAAGGCCACTGTGGTATTGGGGTTTGAGGTGTGCCGAAATTGTTCTACTCCCCCACTAACATTATTGCTTAGTGTGGGTCTCTTAGCAGATGGCTAATCTCCATTCACTGAAGGGCCTGATTTTTGCTAAAATTTCAGGAGTACTTTGCTGCCCCACTCCCAAGGGATGCTTGCTTAGCATAGAACTTCATTACAGCTTGACTAGGGTACAGAGCTAGGCAAGTCCCAGCCCCTGCTGTCTAACACCATAACTGTGGCCAAGTCACTTAACATTTTCCAAGTCTCAGTTCCTTATTTGTAGAAGAAAGAACCTACAAAGGTTGTTTTGAGGCCCAAGCGAGATGCAAGAGAATTTCAAAAATCTGAAGCCCCAGCAATGTTGTAATATACGCCACATGGAATCGTACACGTAGGCTGGTTCCAGTCCCTGAAACATCTCCTGTATGCAGTACATACAGTTCTGTCATCCAGTGACCCAAGTACAAACACGTCCCTTAACAGCAGTGTTCTGCTGGGTCCCTCTGTAACTTTGGGTCAATTTGTAGATAAACAACCCGGACATGCGAGTGCAGATCCTCAAAGATTACGTGAAGCAGCACTTCCCTGCCACCCCTCTGCTCGACTATGCGCTTGAAGTGGAGAAGATTACCACCTCAAAGGTAAAAAAGAAAAAATTCCCTAATTAATGTTTTTGGGTGAATTTCTTGGGAGGGAATGGGTGTCAGGTCATATGTTGATTGTGCAGTTGAAATCCAACCTAATTTTCTGGAAAACTATATTTCTGTTTCGTAACTAAATTCAATAGACATATACCGAGTGTTAGCTAGGTGCTGGGCTCTTTGCTAGACACTGGGAATTCGGAACTGAGGAAGACACGGTCTTTAATGAGCTGGGAGGTTTTGATGGAGATTTTTAACTGGTGGTCAAATTCTGTAATCATAGTAGCACTAGAGGAAAACTGCAAATAAAAAAATGAGAAATAATAATAAATGCTTTGAATTTTTTGCTTTCCCAGAAACCAAATCTTATCCTGAATGTTGATGGTTTTATTGGAGTTGCATTTGTAGACATGCTCAGAAACTGTGGGTCCTTTACTCGGTGAGCCTCACAGCCCTTTTCTTCTTCATAATGATTATTGATTTGTTGTTGGTGTTCCCTTCTAACTATAAAAGTGCTGCATGTTATGCAAGTTTGTTATAAAGGATTTAGAAAATATGGCAGTGTAAAGAAGAAAACAAAAATTGCCTGTAATCCTACCACCCAGAGTACCCCTCCTTTCTGCTTTGAAACCAAACAGAGCTTCTCATTCCTGGGCAGTAGTAGTCTAGGGGAAGTGGGCAGTCATGTGACCATTTGAAAACTACAAGGTGACTGTGTGTTGCAGGGAGGAAGCTGATGAATATATTGACATTGGAGCCCTCAATGGCATCTTTGTGCTGGGAAGGAGTATGGGCTTCATTGGTGAGTTCGTTGTTGTTTTAAGGCATTTTTTTTAACCCCACAGTTCAGCTATACCATTTGCCCATGTAGTGAGTTTCTACAAAAGAGATGTCATATTTTCTTAATCATTGTTCTTAATCTTCCCTTTTTTCTTTTAACCTCCCCTCCCCGCTTATCTTTATTTTATTCTTAGAAATGACTTCAATTGCTAGCCCAGGAAAATAAGAATTAATTCCAGGAGTTCCCTATTACCAAGGCTGTTGGACCTACCTACTGAATTGATCTGGATTTACTTCCCCATTTCTTTCTACCTACATTTTTTTGTATTAGCAAGATTTCCCTTCCATATCCTCTCCTCCTGGCCAAACTCTAAAGATGCGTTTGCTCCATTTTAGGACACTATCTGGATCAGAAGAGGCTGAAACAGGGGCTGTATCGTCATCCGTGGGACGATATTTCATATGTTCTTCCAGAACACATGAGCATGTAACTGAGCCAGGAACCCTACTGCAGTAAAATGAAGACAAGAACTGCTCCCCTGAGAAACAGTGCACAGACCGGTGGCAGTGGAGCCTGCTATAGGATGGGCCTGCAATGTAAACAGCCGCTGGTGTACCAGTGCCAGAAACCAACTCCTACAGGCTAATAACATTCAGTCCACACAAAGAAGCTTAGTATTTTTTTTATAAGCGTAGAAATAAAAACCAAGCCAATACTTGTGAAGTTTGCTCTGCTACCTGCTGTATTTATTATATGGAAGCATCTAAGCTCTGTCAGGATAGTGTTTTTCCTCATTGTAGGGTGTTCCGACGTTGTTTTATTTTTTCCATTTAGTTTAAAAAAAAAATAAAAAAGTTTCCCTTGGAGGAAAGGATTGAAACTTAAATTTTGAGACCTAAAGATACTACATTTAAGGTACCCTTAATATCCTGTTTTTCTACTTCCCTTTGTTCCTCATTTAATGTAAAGAACATTGTATCAATCTGATTTTTTTTAAGATCTTTTTGTATGTTATCTGTCAAAAGTTTGTTTGGTATCCCGCTGAAACACTCCATGTTGCAGGCCCAAGTCTGCTTATGTCAGTGGGATGGGACCATTGCATCCTTAGCCATTGTCATAAAATATGTGGAGTAGTAATTTAAAATGTGTAAAGTTGTAACATACGTATGTTTAAAATGGAAATGCAAAGCAAAAAGCTGTGAAATGTCTTATCTTCTCTGTATGTATGCAGCTGACTTGTCTTGTTACTGAAATGTGAGTCCAAGGACTCTTCTCCAGCCAGTTTGCATCGTAATTCACAAAGATTCTGGTCAGCTGCCACCTCAGTCTCCTCTGTATTATCACAGTTTCGTTTAAATAAACTGTAGTATGAAGGTGTACTGGTGTCTCATGTCCCCCATACCCTTTCATCTGTATTTCTTTCAACTGTGCTTTCTAATGATTTGCTATATGTCATTTTAAAATGCTCATTCCACCTCCTCAAAAAAAAAAAAAAAAAAAAAAATCAAAACACTATCTTCTCCCCTAAACCTGCAGCCCCCTCTTTTTCAGTGAATTGGAACCAAAGCTTACCCAGATCCTCAAGCCAGAAGCTCTTAGGAGTCAATCTTTACTTCTCTATCTGGTTGCTAAGCCCTGTTCATTTACTCTATCATCTAGTCCAGCCCTGGTGGTGCAGTGGTTAAGCATTTGGCTGCTAATCGAGAGGTCGGCAGTTGTAATCCACCAGCCGTCTACTCTGTCTTACAGGGTCTCTATGAGTCGGAATCGGCTTGATGGCAATGAGTTTTATCATCTAGTCATATCTGGTCTTCTAACCGGTGTCCTTATTTCCACTTTTGTGCCCTTAAAATCCATTCTCCACACATCCACTCTTACCACTTTTCTATAGCTCTCTATTAGTGGGCCTATTGGAGTTTTCTTTCTCTGACATTTCAGCCTTACACAGGGTCCAACTTTCACAGCTTTTACTGTATATACTGAACAGTAACTATTACCTATCATGATGCTAAACACTTTACAAGCATTATCTCATTTAATCCTTACACTGATCTTCCAAGGTAGACAGTATCTCCATTTTTGAAAAATAAATTAGTTCACAGACAATAAGTAACTTGCTTAAGCTCATCCACTTAGCTGGAGCTCGATCCAAAGACTTTATTTTGGTAGTATTTTCACTACAAGCCCATTTTAAATCATTTAAAATCAAAATCCTATGTTACCACCCACGACGTTAATAGGTGATGGTCTAAGAAGGCTTTTACGAAGATCATGCTGGTAAGGGGAAGCAAAAAATCCATTCCCCCACCGAGATCTGGGATGGGAGGCCTTGGGTGATTCTTGAGAGTCGAGTGAAGTAATGATAACTGAAAAGATTTAAGTTTGAACTCTATCAAACGTGGAACGGATTTTGGGAAGGACGAGGCGGCGCATGCGCGGCCCCAGGCTCGCGGCACGGGCTCCGCCCCTCGCCCACTATAATCCCAGAATCCCTCTGTGTCGCACCAGAACGGCCGGATCGTTCCGAAACTGCGGAGGCCGGGCGCGGGGGCGTCAAGATGGCGGCGGCAGCGGTGGCCGCGGCGGCAGCGGCGGCTGCGGCTGCATCCCTTCAGGTGCTGGAGATGGAAAGCATGGAGACGGCCGCCGCCGGCTCAACGGGACTAGCAGCCGAAGTCAGAGGCAGCGGCACGGTGGACTTCGGGCCTGGGCCTGGAATATCTGCAATGGAGGCCAGCGGGGGAGATCCCGGCCCCGAGGCCGAGGACTTCGAGTGCAGCTCTCACTGCTCGGAGTTGTCCTGGAGGCAGAACGAGCAGCGGCGCCAGGGACTCTTCTGCGACATTACCTTGTGCTTCGGCGGTGCCGGAGGTCGCGAGTTCCGGGCCCACCGCTCGGTGCTGGCCGCCGCCACCGAGTACTTCACGCCCCTACTCTCCGGCCAGTTTTCCGAGTCCCGCTCGGGCCGGGTGGAGATGCGCAAGTGGAGCTCCGAGCCCGGGCCCGAGCCCGACACTGTAGAAGCCGTTATCGAGTACATGTACACTGGGAGGATCCGCGTCAGCACGGGCAGTGTGCACGAGGTGCTAGAGTTAGCCGACAGGTAAGCGAGGGAGGCCGGGCTGTGGAGGGCGCGGCGCTAGGAGGTGAAAACGCACGTTGAAGGAGAGGATTGTGCAGCATCTGGGGAGGGGGCAGGAGAAAGCGGGGACGGCAATGCCTACGGATGGGAATCTAGTGAGCGCTGAGCAGATGCATTCATTTAATACTCATGGAGCGCCCACTGTGGGTCAGCCACTGTGTTGGGCACTGAGGATGCAGCCGTCAAATCGGGCAAGGCGCCTTGCGCTAGTGGAGTTCAGATTCTAGAGGGAAGGACAATGGCAATGAAAAGAAAGTCCGTATGTAATCTGTGCTGTACTGACGTTAAAAAAGGGTGAAAGGATAGTGATTGGGTAGAGGAAAGACCTCACTGAAGAGGTGACGTTTAAATCTACCTGTGAATGACGAGAAAGAACTGGCCATGCAAAAACGGGGGAAGAACATTCCCAGGCAGATAGCACAAGGCTGGATCCAGTGATCCAGTTTGGGTTGGACAAGGGGGGAAAAAAGCCCCTGAGGCTGGATCTAGCGGACAGTGGGAAAATGGTGTGAAATGTGTCAGAATAAGGAGTTGGCATTTTGCAGTAAGTGTGATGGGAAACTGGGTAAAAAAAATGATCGAATTTAAAGATTTTAAAAGATTCTGCTGCTGTGGAAAATGGATTGTAGGGATCAAGAATGAATGCTGGAGACTGGTTAGGAAGCTGGTGAATGCCATTTACAGAGATAGGGAGGAATCTGTTTAGACAGTGTTATATTACAGATTTGTTATTTTAACAAATACATGTACTTACCGAGCACCCACTCAGCATCAGATCAGACACTGGATTCTAAGATGCTGGGGAATCAGACTAAAGTTGCTTTGCTCATATAGCACTTACACTGGTAGGTGAACAATAAGTAAAATATATAGTATGTTGGATGATCGTTATAGCTGTGATGAGAAAGCATGGTCGGGGCATATAGATAGTGCTGGGTGCAGAGGAGCTGTTTTTCAAACGAGTGGATAGAGAATACCTCTTGGAGAATACGTTTTACAAAGAACTGAAGGAAGCGAGGGAAAGAGTGTTTTCAGCTAGAGAGCAGGTGCAAAGGCCCTGAGGTTGGAGCTTGTCTGGATGTTGGGAAATAGCAGGGGGCCAGTTGTTATTAAGATATGGAAGACTGTAAGAGAGGTTGCGGCAGGGAGGGAAATCAGGAATTTGGTTTTGATCAAAATGTCTGAGTAGACAACTGGATATAAGAGCACTGGGAGCTAGAGATACAGACTAGGGGGAAATTAGCATATAGTTGGTTATTAAAGCCATGGGTTTGGATGTAATTACTTAGGAAGAGATTGTAGATAAGGGAGAGAAGCAGCGGGGAGAGGGAGCAGGCAGGACTGAACCCTGGGGTTCTCCAAAATGTCACACGATTGAAGAGGAGTCAGTTGAGGAGACTGATCTCATGGAAGCCTAGAAAGGAAGAGTGTAAAGGCAGAGGTGGCCAATCCTGCCAAGGCATAAGTGATCATTGGATTTGGCAATAATGTAGGTCATTGGTGGCCTTGACAAGAGCCATTTAAGTTAAGTATTCCTATGAAGGAGATCAGAACAACTGAACACAGATGGAAATGTTTGAGTAGGGACAAGGGGGATTGTCTTAGTTATGTAGTGCTGCTATAACAGAAATACCACAAGTGGATGGCTTTAATGAAGAGAAAATACAGTCTAGGAGGCTAGAAGTCTGAACTCAGGGTGCCAGCTCCAGAGGAAGGCTTTCTCTCTCTGTCACCTCTGGGAGAAGGTCCTTGTCATCAATCTTCCCCTGGTCGAGGAGCTTCTCAGCACAGGGACCCCAGGCCCAAAGGACGTCCTATTCTCCTGGCTCTTGTTTCTTGGTAGTATGAGGTCCCCATGTTTCTCTGCTCACTTCACTTTTTTATGTCTCAAAAGAGATTGACTTAAAAACACAACCCAATCTTGTAGATTGAGTCCTGCCTCATTAACATAACTGCCGCTAATCCCACCTCATTAACATCATAGAGGTAGGATTTACAGCATTCAGGAAAATCACACCAGATGATAAAATGGTGGACAGTCACGCAATATTGGGAATCATGGCCTAGCCAAGTTGACCCACATTTCTGGGGGACACACTTCATAACAACCACAAACGGGTGGCTTTAACAAACAAATTTATTCTCTCACAGTTTAGGAGGCTAGAAGTCCGAGTTCAGGGTGTTGGCTCTAGGGGAAGGCTTTCTCTCTCTGTCGGCTCCGAGGAAGGTCCTTGTCTCTTTGAGCTTGTGCTCCTGGGTGATCTTCGTATGGCTTGGCATCTCTCTTCCCACATCTCTGCTTCCATAATCTCCTCCTTTTATATTTTATAAGAGATTGACTCAGACACACCCTGTACTAATTCTGTCTCATTAACTTAACAAAGGCAGCCCATTCCCAAATAGGATTTTAACCACAGGCATAGAGGTTAGGATTTACAACACGTATTTTGGGGGACACAATTCAATCCATAGCAGGAGTATGTCTTTTTCTTACCGTCTAAGATAGGAGATACTAGAATGTGTTTGTTTGCTGATGGAAATATTCAGTGGAAGAGGAGAAATTGATGCTACAGGATTGAGGGGATAATTGTAGGACTAAAGTCCTTGAAACCAAGAGGGGCGATAGGATCCATATTATAAATGGAAAGATTGGACTAGGAAGACAGACACGCAGGCAGATCGGGTGGTGGAAAGATGAAGTTCTGTCTGATGCTTTTCTCAAAGGTGGGGCAGAATAGGGTGAGTATAAGTCAGAGGGAGGTTTGTTGAATGAAAATGGATAGAGAAGGATCATTGCACTCACTCAGGCAATGTTTGCTTCTGTCATATGATCTTTATTTTTGGGGGGGGAGGGAGGTTTGTTTTTTGTTTTCAAATTTGCCCCTGCTTGATTGGGGGTGAGGAGAGGAGCAGGCAGTTTACTTAAAATTTCTCTCCATCTGTCAGCTGCTGAGCAGCTGCCTTGTTTCAGGCGCTGTTCTAAGTGCCCTGAGACATCACATTGAATCTTCCCATCAGCTCTGAGGCAAGGTTCTCCCTTTCCTCCTCCCCCATGTACTCTGTTGGTGATCATACCTTCCTTGCAGGGCAGTTATCAGAAATGATAGGAACTACCCTACATAATGCCTCGCACATGGCAAATGCCTAGTATGTGAACAGTCGCTATTATTTTCATAGAGCAGTGTTTCCAAACACTTGTCTAAGGGATGCTGTCTCAGGATTACCCAGGGTGCCTGCCAAAAACGGGCTCTAGGTGGGGGGGCAGGGAGCCCAGGAATTATATATATATCTAACTGGGTCAACTTCCCATATGACTCCAGCACCCAGACATGTTTGGGAGCCACTACAGCCCCAACCACTGCACCTTGTATTCATTTTCTTTCTAAGATAATATGTTCCTTGAAGAGGGTGAAGGGAGCCTGTCTTATTCATCTTTATATCACAGTTAGTTATTAAACATAATAATGATAATAACAAATGGCTACCAAATTGAATGGGGTTGGACTGAATAAATCGTCCTTACATTGTCTGAGTTTTGCAATTTGGGGGACTTTTTTTAAAGCGGTGGTCTCAGGTAGGCTACCCTGAGGGCTGAGTGCTGCCAGATGTACGAATTTGTCTGAAACCATTGTTGTTGTTTTGTTTTAACTTTAAATGAATTTAGGTGGACAGAAAACCTGTAGTCAGCTACATACCAAACCACTCTCTTTTGTTTTTTAACCTGGACTGTCCTACATAAGCACTATTTGTTTGTGTTTTGTGACCTGGCTTCTTCAGAAGTTTGAGTTTGCCTTTGCCATCCCTGCTTTAATGGGAACCCAGCTGCCCAAAGAGAAAGCTCTGTTGAAGAGGAGATTAAAACCTCTAACACAAAGCCTGGACTGCTGTTCTTTCTAATAATCTGACCAAACAAACCCTCCAAGGAGTCACAGTTCCTGCTTAGCTCTTACTTTATACCACGTAGATGGATAGATTGATAGCTGCTGTCAAGTTGACTCTGACTCATGACGACCTTATGTACAACCTCATGCCCGGTACTGCATCATCCTCATGATCATCAGCATGTTTGAGTCCATTGTTGCAGCTGTTGTGCCAGTCCGTCTCACCGGGGTTCTCCTTTGCCTTCTCTGGCCCTCTACTTCACCAAACATGGTGTCCTCTTCCAGCAATTGATCCATCCTCCCTCCCAGTGATGTGTTCAAACCAAGCAAGTTAGCCAATGTTCTGTTGTGATCCGTAGGGTTTTCATTGGCTAATTTTCAGGTGTAGATCACCAGACCTTTCTTCCTAGTCTGTTCTTTGTCAGGAAGCTCCTCTGAAACCTGTCCACCATGGGTGACCCTGCTGGTGTTTCAAATACTAGTGGCATAGCTTCCAGCATCACAGCAATACACAAGCCACCATGATAGGACGGACTAATAAATGGGTGATGATTATTCCATACAGTTGATGCTTAATAAAATCTCTTCCCTGAGACCCTGCCCCATTTAAGAAGAGGCTGGTGATGGCAAGAGATTAGGACACGATGACAGAGGCAAGTCTGGATTGGGATTTGTGGAGAGCAAATTAAAGTGAAAATAAAGTATGGGACAGTTGTACTTTATTAGAGAATGTGTTCCAAAAACTTTGTCATTGTTATTTAAATGTATTTTTATATATAAAAATAATTTATGTTTATGTTTTTAAACATACTTTTTTCAGCACAATACTTTTTAATTTGGGGGATTTTCTTTTTCAAATGTTGTGCATAAGGTGAAATTAATCTCACCGTTTCAATTTGTGTAATTCAGATGTTCTCAAAGTGCAATCTTGTGAAATATGCACATTTGGAAATTAATCTTTTCTCTTTTTCTTTATTATAGGTTTTTATTAATTCGTTTAAAAGAATTTTGTGGAGAATTTCTCAAGAAAAAACTTCATCTCTCTAATTGTGTGGCCATTCATAGCTTAGCTCATATGTACACCCTGAGCCAACTTGCTCTGAAAGCTGCTGATATGATACGAAGAAACTTCCACAAAGTAATTCAGGATGAAGAATTTTATACTTTACCTTTCCATCTCATTCGAGACTGGCTTTCAGACTTGGAAATTACGGTTGATTCTGAAGAGGTTCTCTTTGAAACAGTTTTAAAGTGGGTTCAGAGAAATGCTGAGGAGAGAGAGAGATACTTTGAAGAACTCTTTAAATTGCTCAGATTGTCCCAGATGAAACCTACTTACCTTACTCGGCATGTCAAACCAGAGAGGCTGGTGGCCAATAATGAAGTTTGCGTCAAGCTGGTGGCAGATGCAGTGGAGAGGCATGCTCTGAGAGCTGAGAACATACAATCTGGAACATTCCAGCACCCCGCTTCTCATGTCTCTTTATTACCTCGCTACGGGCAAAACATGGACGTGATCATGGTTATTGGAGGCGTGTCAGAAGGGGGGGACTATTTAAGTGAATGTGTGGGATATTTTGTTGATGAGGACAGATGGGTAAACCTGCCTCATATTCATAATCACCTTGATGGACATGCGGTTGCAGTAACAGAATCCTACGTATATGTTGCTGGATCAATGGAACCAGGGTTTGCTAAAACTGTGGAAAAGTATAACCCAAATTTGAATACGTGGGAACATGTTTGTAGTCTGATGACAAGAAAGCATTCTTTTGGGCTAACAGAAGTTAAAGGGAAGCTCTATAGCATTGGAGGGCATGGCAACTTCAGTCCTGGCTTTAAAGATGTGACTGTTTATAATCCTGAGCTTGATAAATGGCACAACTTGGAATCGGCACCAAAGATTCTTCGAGATGTCAAAGCACTTGCCATTGAAGACCGGTTTGTGTACATTGCTGCCCGCACTCCTGTGGATCGTGACACCGAAGACGGGTTAAAGGCTGTAATTACTTGTTACGATACAGAGACTCGACAGTGGCAAGATGTGGAATCTTTGCCACTTATTGACAATTACTGCTTTTTCCAAATGTCCGTGGTTAATTCAAACTTCTACCAGACAGCGTCGTGCTGTCCTAAGAGTTACTCTTTAGAAAATGAAGAGGCAGTACGAAAAATTGCCAGCCAAGTTTCTGATGAGATCCTTGAAAGTTTACCTCCAGAAGTCCTGAGCATTGAAGGAGCAGCCATTTGCTATTACAAAGATGACGTTTTCATTATTGGAGGTTGGAAAAACAGTGATGATATTGACAAACAGTATCGGAAAGAAGCCTACCGATATTGTGCTGAGAGAAAGAGGTGGATGCTTCTTCCTCCCATGCCACAGCCTCGTTGTAGAGCCACTGCTTGCCACGTGAGAATCCCGTACCGGTACTTGCATGGCACACAGCGATACCCTATGCCTCAAAACTTAATGTGGCAGAAGGACCGGATCAGACAGATGCAAGAAATCCATCGGCATGCCCTAAACATGCGGCGAGTGCCAAGCTCTCAGATTGAATGCTAGGTTCTCTTCATGAGGCTGAAGCTATCCAAACAGTTACTAGAAAAAGTATGTTGATAACTTATTTTCTACCTGAACTGATTACAGTATTACCCCATGTAAAGGAAAAGTAGTTAAAAACTGAAGAATGGGAAATTCAGTTCCATACTTGGCAACTTTTGTTAGCTTGCAGTCTTTTTCTGTCCTTGGTTTGTATGTATGTACTAGCTAAATAAGATCTTATTAAAGACAAGTGGAAAAATCAGGTGCAGTTACTCGGCTGTTTTTGGCCAACAAGTTATAACTCCTTTTGTCTTAGGGACTTATATTTTGAACATGCTTTAAGCATCAATTTTATTTGCACATTTACTTTGATTTTCCTCTTCATTTTTTCCTGAGTGGTTGATTCTGACAAGATGAGAATTTATGCATTAAGCCCTCTTCTCCAGAAGGCATGTGCAGTAGTGACACTGAAATTTGAAGGAAAAAGCACAAATTTTCAGCAAGATGGTTTCAGAATGTTTGTGTTGATGTTTTGTTGTGTTTGTCTAGAAATACTGTTGTGTTTATTTCTAGAAGAGATGACTGATGAAAAACTTGTGATTGAGTCATGCATTTTTTGAATATTTTTTATTTCTTTGGCAAAAGCGTTGCAGACTTCAAGTCATCAACCCGAGATGATGGTAGTTGGCAAAAGTTGCCATATTTTGTACACAAATAATGCACACCTTGTACATTTGTTTGCCAACTGCTGTGTCCTGTCCCCCTGCCAGGTGTTTTAAGTGCACCATGCTAGTTCTTTTTTACAGCAACATGGAAGAAAAAAATTGGCATAGGGGCGCTTACAAAAATACCTCGCGGGCAGAGGGAGCAATTGACAAACAAACATAGAAGGTGCTCATTATTTGCGTAAAATACGGTACTGATCTTTAACTGATTGAACAGAGGAAGTTACATATGTGAAATTTGTTTCTATAGGAAGAAAAGTAGCATTAGTGTAAACTGGGAAATCAAAAGCATTTAAAAATTTTTAAACTCTTCAGAAGTTGCAGGCTTATTTGAGGATAAGTTAATGAGTGTAAATAATGCTTATGACAATCGCTACTCAATGCCTTCAACTTTAATTTTTGTTCTAATGCATTGTGTATAGAATCCTCTTGCCTTTCTTAAAGAAACTTTCTTCAGAATGGATAGGAAGTAACAATTTAGAGAAATGTTAAAGAGAAGCTTCTTTATATCTTGGCCCTGATTGTGATAATAATTTATCCGGTTGCCCTAGACTTTTATTGGAACTTCGTCTGAGCTCAGAATACTGAACTTGGTTGCATAATTCTGACTCTTAAAAATTTATCACTGCAGTTATGTTTCATGTATGTTTATGCCTTCTTCTGATTCTCTTAGACACTCCTGAGTTTGATACACATCAGCACTCAGGTCGACTCCTTTCCAGTTCACAGAGAAAGGACTTGGCTTTTCCTTGAGCAGGAAGAGAGCCTGCTCTGATGGTTTGCAGTGTGGGTCCAGTGAAGTTTTTCTTGTTTTTTACAGAATGTCTTTAGCTTCTTAGACATTCTAGTATACTACTCTATAGAAGTTCAATTCCAAGTGCAGTGATTTTTTTTTTTTTCTAGTCCGTTATAGTCAAAGCCAACTTTCTTAGTAGTTGTTGGAGAAAAAAGCACAACTAGAAATTTTGACTCTGTATTTGCTACAAGACCACTAATGTTTTATCCCCTGGGCCCTATACTAAGAACCTTTCTGAAATTTCTGAATTAGTATCCCTGCCTAAGACAAGGCTTTTCAATAAATATGTTGGAAATATGCTTTAAAACCATTTAGTTTAGACTGGGGGGAAAGCTGCAAGTCTGCTCCTAGATGAGGCTTTGTTATTCTACCCCACCACCTCTCCTTGTTTTTTCGATTTCCATTTATTTGTAGTTATTTTAATAAAAGTCATCTGGATTCTGATAAGTGCTAATTCAGCTTTTTGTTAGTTGTGAGAAGCATGTACCAGTAAGAAAAACTCATTGAAGAAGTTCTCATTTCCTTCTTTTAGACACATAACAAACTTATCTTTGATTGTATTGAAATAACTTAGTCGCTCCCTAGGATGCCAGTTTCTTTCCAGAAGGGTATGATGTAAGCATATTTTTTGGTCTCAGAGACAGTCATTACCAAGTTATTTGTAGAGTTTTCTCTCTTGTTTTCACACGATGTGGCAGAGATTATAACTCATAAGATTTAGGTATAATCTGATTTTGAAACCTTGATTGAAACTGTTGTTTTTTAACTCAGCAGGCAGCCTAGGCCATGGCTGAAAAGAAGGGGTAAGTCCTTCATTGCATGATGATGTGTGCAGGTTTTCCTGACTACTGAATTCCTAATTGTCACATTTGAATTCACATGTGTGATTTCACATCAATAACTTGTGTTTCTGAGATATCCTAACTAACTTGTTAATACAAAAAGAAACCAGATTGCTTAAATCTGTTCAAGGCTGCCATTCTGAAATTCTGAATTGTAAATAACTTCCCAGATTGTTTGGGAAGGTTCTAATTATGATAACCAAGACCTAAGATGGCTCTTTGAGAGAGAAATTTCCTTTTTGATGAAAACATAAAGATTTTGGTAATCTGAATAGTCAAAAACGTGGCTTTAAAAATACAGCTTAACGTGTATTCACACAAACTTTATTTTGTTGCCTTTATTTTTGTTTTGTGGAAGAGGGAGGAATTGATTATACCAAAAAGTAATAACTGTATATAACTTTGAATGAGACCACTTATATCTTAGAATGGGTATCCTTTAACTATACCTACCCCACCATGTTTAAAAAACAAAACAAAACAATGGTATATGTTGAGAATGTCAGTCATGAGCTTAGTGTTTAAGTAATGCATCTCACTTGCAGTTGTTTGCATGATTAGTCTTGTGTATTTTGATATTCAACTTTGCTTTTGCTGTGTCAGTTGAAAAATAATTGTTTTGCTAAATAATCTTAAAAGTTATTGACATCAGTTTTTTGATCACCTGGTTTTGTATAGTATTTCTGGGACCAAAAAAAAAATTAAAATATTGTCCCTTTTTATATAGAACAGAATTGTTTGAAGCTGAAAAGATAGTGTATACGGAAGATTTGTGTGTGTGTTTTTTTTTTTCAAACCTTTAGGCTGCTGGTAAAGCAGCTTCTAGGACACACTTTTCCCCCTTTATGTTTCTCTCTCGACTAAATAGTGTAGCGTGTGATATGTTTGAAATACTTCATTCTCTGCTTCACAGTTCTAATATCAAGACTATACTGTAGGTAGGAGTGAGCTGAGTTGTACATTTTAATTACTTGGTCTAATCTAAAGGGACTTTTTGTACTTTCCTTAAATTATGCTTACATAAAAGGATACGTTGACTGTATTTCATGTCTTCGAAAATATACAGAATTGTGAAGCAAGTTTTCTGCTTACACTAGTAAAATAAGGTGCTTACAGGTTGCCGTTTAACCGTAGAATATTTGAGAAACAATTCACCTTTTTTTTTTGGCTTGACAGACATTTTACCACTCCAGTTTACTTTCGTGAGGAAAAGGTCTGTTTTTGTTGCAGTGCTTACCTTATATGTTCTGGTCACTGGAAACAAAACAGCTCATAGTTGAGTCATGTGATATGGTAACATAATATAATAGGCATTTTGCTTCAAGGAATTTAATTAGATAGCCAGATTCCTGCTTTTTGTTGATTACCTTTGCGGGCTTCTGTCTTACTCTATATGATCATTACTACCAGTGTCTTACATTGAAGCACATACAATAGAGCACTTGTTAACTTAACCCTCCTACATAACGCACTCGTGAAAAGTAGTGCTTGCTAGCTGTCCAAAGGTCTTATGATCCATGTGCTAGGACTCATTGAGCTATTTGTAAAATAAATATTTTGTTTGAGTTGCTACAGTGAGTTCTTTGGGCTAGCAGTATCCAGGCTTCTTCTACTCTACTGAAAGTATAATCTTGGCTGCCTCCCTGAAGTCAGAGGAGATGTAATATTTAGGACACTTTGAGATGTTACATTGTAAAATAGCTTGTTTTACATTCCTGAAGCTATCTTGTTCTATGTTAAAGCTACTAATCGTTTCAATGTAAGTTTTAAATAAACATATTTCTTTAGAGCTGGTTTGTACTGTTTGTTTTTTGTTTTGTTTTGTTTTTCTTTTTAATTATACACTGTTGACTATAATTGCCTTCTTCCTTCCCTCCTATTCCCTCATTCATCCAACCCTGGCTCCCTTAAGTTGAACATTTTCCAGTACTCTTACAAGTTTAAACACTGTATTTATTTAAAAAAAGAATTAATTCTTACTGCTTGGACTTTTTATTAGCTAAATGAAGAGGCTCATACAGGTAGGGTACTTGTCGAAGCGGAATACTTTACTTCATCTCGCAGTGCTAATCCTGTAAAGTTGTCCCGTCTAGCTGCATATTCCCCAACATTGGCCAGCCCTGGTACCACACAGCAGCTCAGAGCACTGCGGTATATGCTCATGTCATGAGCATCGTACCACTCATCAGTCTTCTCGTCATAGCACTCAACATTAAAGGTGGTAGTAAAGCCATTAAAGCCACCCACCACAAACAGGAGGTCGTCCACCACCTCAATGCCAAAATTGCTACGAGGATTAAACATAGTAGGGATCGTGCGCCAAGTATTAGCCACTGGGCTGTAGGCTTCTGCGCTTCTGAGTCGATTCGCTCCATCAAAACCGCCTACCTGTAGGTTGCAAAAGAAACACGATTGACTGTTAACCACTGCTGCTGTTTACTGAGAAGGCCCTAGTTGGGGAGGATCAGAGGTTTCATACCTCCCCCTTCCGCTATGAAAAAAAAGCTTTTTCAAATGCTTACCAATGGTAGGGTAAACCTATTTGCAGATATCAGATCTAGGGGTTAATCATTTATGTTGTAGCCCTAGAGGAACTTACAGCATATACGTGTTCTCCATAAGCAATTACACCTATTCCACTCCTCCGGCTTCTCATAGGTGCTATGACTGTCCACTGATTACTCTCGGTGTTGTACACTTCTGCTGTAAACAGGCATTCGTTCCCATTAAACCCACCACATATGTAGACCTGCGTGAAGAGAGTACCAAGAGTATCAAATTGTCACCTCTGGGGAGTAGAAAGAAAGGGTCTGCGTGCGGTGCGGGGTAACACTTCATTTAATGCCATTCTGTACAATCTGGATTTTTCCCCCCATGTTTGCATGCATTGCTTTTTCATTAATAAGTAAAACAAGGCCACTTAGTCTTTTAAGGAAGGGGTCAGTACTGCAGAGTGAGTACTGCCACCCAAAAAAACAAGGAACAGCCATCATTTCTGGGCTTGGCCTTTGCTTCCAATCTCCCTCTCCCACCCTGGTCTTTACCTTTCCATACAGTGTCGTGGCACTTGCGTCACTCCTCTGTTCGTGCATGGGGGCAATGAGTGTCCATTGATTGGTCTCTGGCTCGTAACGTTCAGCAGTATTGAGGCGCACATAGCCATCAAATCCTCCCATGGCATAAATAAAATTGCTGAGGACAGTCACACTGACATAGCAGCGTCTAGAGTGCATCGGAGCTACCTGGTGCCAAGTTTTCTTGACTGGGTCAAAACGCTTAACGCTATTGAAGTAGTCTACGCTATCGAACCCCCCAATGATATAAACATAGCCTTTCAAATAGGCTGCTCCGTGATAGGCACGGGGACTCTCTTCCTCACAAGTGACATTCACCCATCTGTCTGCCCGAGCATCATATGCCTCAATGGCATTGGTGGGGCTCCCACCACTCCAGCCACCAATTGCAAATAGGATGGCATAGGGCAGGCGGGGCCTGGTGAGTGGGTTGGTGAAGTCAGAATTAGAGGGTCCATTCATGTTTAGGTCATACATGGCCTTTAGGGCGTTAATGATGACTGGCTTGCATTCCTCACTGTCTTTCACATAGTCGTTCATCTTAACATTGTTCATGAAGTACTCAGCATGCATTAGAGCCAGGCGAACCTAAGAAGGAAATACAGAAAGTCATTCAGATGAGATGAGGGTGTCTGGAAAAGCCATATCCTTAACCCCTGTTTCACAGTCTGCCTTTGAACTGCTCTAGTATTACATTTTGTTTTGTCTTGAAATTTATAACTCACAGTTTAAATACTTGTTTTGTGGCGGTGGTATACATTTACATGCTAAGAATAAACTAGAAGGCCCATTTCTCTGCCACTGGACAGTACTATAAAATCAGAAAAAGCTGTGGTGATTGTTCAGTAATTGAATGTCTGTGTCTCTATTTGTAAAATAACATTATTTAACACCAACTGGCTACAGTTGTGGAGCCCTGGTGGTGCAGTGGTTAAGAGCTCACTGGCTAGCCAAAAGGTCAGCAGTTCAAATCCACCAGCCACTCCTTGGAAACGCTATGGGGCAGTTCGTTCTACTCTGTCATATAGGGTCGCTATGAGTCAGAATCAACTTGACGGCAACAGGTTTGGGTTTTTTTGGTTTTGGCTACAATAGTATGCAATACTCATAGTTCGGTTTCTGAATTTTTTTACTCCAACTTCTAACTTGGGTTTGGGGAAACTCATAGAATGGAAAAAGGGTGAAAGGAAGACCCAATAAAAAAAAAAATTGAAGGCCTTGCCCTCTCCTTCCCCCACTACCAGGGAGAATTTTGGTCAAAGAGTATAACTAGGGGAGAAGTTGTTAGCAATGCCAAGGGAAAAGTGAAATGCAAAATTCCAGAGAATAGTAGGAGATAACCATCTATATAAGTGTATAGAAATACAGCCCTGGAATCTGTCGTACATCTGCATGTGGGCCTTACGACAATCCCTCTGGGATGAAATGAATCAAGAGTGAGCAATTAAGCATCCACAAAGAACAACTAAACTTGACCTTGGGAAGCAAAACTGAAATATGCTGCTTCCTATTTTGGGGGTCATGAGAAATCCACTTTAAAATGGCCTCAAATACAGCATCTTCCTGTTTGACGTTGAGCTCATCTTTCTCAATGATATCCTTAAGTTCAGTGACTGAGAGCTCTAAGAATTCTGCTGAGACTTTCACCATCTCCTCGAAGTTGTGCAGTATGAACATGTAGGCCTTCTGCCTCAGCTCAGGGCAATAGTAGTAGTCTGTGAACTTGCAGATACCAATACAATTATCCAAACACAGCTCCGACTTGAGGAACTCACAGCAACCCCTGACGATACCCATGATGTTAAATTGGTCAGCAGCAGCCAGCAGCTTCTCCACGTTGTCCGGTGTGATAGGGACGGTCCGGGTGTATGCATATTCAATAATTAGCTTCATCATGTCGGGAGAAATGCCAGGAATGTTGTATACCTTCTTTTCAGTGTTGTTCCAGCCACTTGTAAACAAAGCTCTGAAAAAAAAAAAAAAAAACTAGCAGCCACAGAAACATTTCTCTCCAGTTAGCCATTTTCTCCCCTACCTTTTCTTAAGGGAGGTTTGGGGATTTTTGAAATAGTGCATGAGGAGTGTGTTGGAAAGCAATTGACCGGAAGAAGAGAAGGGAAGACTATGTGCTTTATACATACAGTGGCAAGGAGAGAATCCTTCGAAGAACTTTGACTCCAATCACTCTTACCTTATCCTCATGATGACTAGGTCTTTTTCCCATTTTGTAACTGGAGAAATTGAGGTCTAGAGCTGGGACTAGGACCTAGGTCTCTTCTTCTGTACCAACCCATTGCCCACCAAATTCTATCTTGCTTACGGAAATTAGACTTGAGCAATACATTTGTTTAGTAAGTATCATGCATCACATCCAGAATCTGATCACTTCTCACTTCTACTGCTACCACCTTGGTCCAAGCCACCACCATCTCTTGCTTAGACTTAGATTTGGAGTAACCTCCTAGCTGATCTCCATGCTTCTGTCCTTGATACCTCCAGAGTTTGTAGTCTTATCTCAGCAGCCAGTCTCATTCTTATGAAAGGTTATGTTACTCTTATACTTAAAACCTTCCACTGACTTCCCTTCTTACTCAGAGTAAAATACAAAGTCCTCACCAGGGACTACAAAAGCCCTGTGAGATCTGAACCACTAATCTTACCTCACAGACCGTACTTCCTCCCGCTTTTCCCGTCACTCACTCTGCTCCAACCCTATTGGCTTACTTCCTGTCTCTTGAACACACAAGTACTTCCATCTTTGGTCCTTTGTACTTTCCGTTCCCTCTGCCTGGAAGGCTCGGCCATATCTCCATATTTCTCACTCCCTTATTCCTTTAAATTCTTTGCTTAAATGTCACTTTGCCAGCAAGGGGATGACAACTGTACTTACTACTCCCTATGTTCCTTTTTGTGTTTTTTTTCCCTACCACTTACCATGATCTGAGGGCCCTGCTGGCGCGGTGGTTTAGCGTTTGGCTGCTAACCAAAAGAACGGCATTTCGAATCTACCAGCTGCTCCTTGGAAACCCTATGGGGCAGTTCTACTGTGTCCTGTAGGATTGCTATGAGTCGGAATCAACTCAATGGCAACGGGTTTGGTTTGGTTTTTATGATGATCTGATACATATTTTACTTATTATTTAACGCCTGTTTCCCCTACTGGAATGCAAGCTTTATGAGAACAGGAATTTTTATCTGTTTATTTGTTGCTTTATTTCCAATACCCAGAACAGTGCTTGTCACAAAATAGGCACTCAATAAATAATTATTAAATGAATAAATGAATACCATTCCACAACTATTTCTTGGACTCCTACTGTGTGCCTAGGCACTTTTCTAGGTGCTGAACAAGACAGAAGTCCCTGCCCTAGTATATTTTGCTTCATTTTTCTAAAAGATTAAAACAAATATGGGCTTAGAGATCAAATTCTTCCTCTAGAGCAGGGGTCTACAAACTATATATAGCCTGTGAGCTGTGAGCCAAAATCTGGCCCACCTCTTGTTTTTCCACCACCCATGAGCTAAGAATGGTTTTTACATTTTTAAATGGTTGAAAAAAATCAAAATATTTTAACATGTAAAAATTACATCAAATTCAAATTCCAGTGTCCTTAAATAGTTTTATTGGAACGTAGCCACCCCTATTCATTTAGTATTGTCTATGGCTGTTTTAAGGAACCCTGGTGGCACAATGGTTAAATGCGTGGATGCTAACCAAAAGGTTGGTGGTTCAACTCCATCCAGCGGCTCCAAGGGAGAAAGACCTGGCAATCTGCTTCCATAAAGATTACAGCCTAAACTGGACTAAGCCAAAGCTAAGAAGTTTCCTGAATACAACCAAAGAATTCAAGAGACAGAGTAGCAGGGGCAGGGGTCTGAGGACTATGGTTTCAGGGGACATCTAGGTCAATTGGCATAACAAAGTTTATTAAGAAAATGTTCTGCATCCCACTTTGGTG